AAATCCCCCAAAAATCCACTCGGAATTGCGAAATTAAGAATTTTTATAACAAATCCTCGGAGCGATGAAGAATTCCAGCTTTTTTTGTGTTTTTGGTTTTTTTTGGGAATCCCAGGATCCTGAGGGGGTTCCCAGCTGGATTTTCACAAACAAAAAAATTCCCGGAATTTTCTTTTTTTTTTTGTTGTTATTTTGTCCTTTTTTTTGTGGTTTTTTTACCAAAAAAAGTCTCGGATCCAACGCCGGGAAAATAAAATTAAAAAAATTCCAAACCTTGAAAAAATCCCCCCAAAATTCAAAATAATGATAATAATAATCATTTAAAAAAATTAAATTGCTTAAAAGAAAGATTTTTAAAATTCCCCACCAAAAAAAAAAAACCTCCCAAAAATTTTTAAAACTGCCAAATAAAATCCCCCCAAATAAATAAATATATAAATAAATAAATAAGCACATAAATAAATGCATAAATAAATGCATAAATAAATGCATAAATAAATAAATAAATTAAATAATCATAAAATAAATAAATACATAAATAAATAAATGAATAAAATAAAGTAATAATAAAATAAAGTTAAATTAATAAAATAATAGAATAAAATTCAATAAAATAAAGTTGAATACAAAATGAAGTTAAAAAAGTTAAATGAATATAAAATAAATAAAATAAATAAATAAAATGAAGTTACATTAATCATAAATGAATAAATGATAAAAATAAAATGAAATCTTAAAAAAAGAAAACAAAATGAACATAAAAAAATTAAATTAAAAAAAAATAAAATAAAATAAAATAAAGGAAAATAAAATAAGATAAAATAAAATAAAATAAAATAAAGTAAAATAAAATAAAATAAATTAAAAGGAAGGAAACAAGTCAAATTAAATTAAACTTTAAAAAACAAAATAAAATAAAACAAAGTAAAATAAAATAAAATAAAAATGAAATAAAATAAAGCAAATTAAATTAAATCTTTAAAAAAATAAAAGAAAATGAAATGAAATGAAATGAAATAAAATTAAATTAAAATAAAATTAAAATAAAAGGAAGGAAACAAATTTAATTAAAAAATAAAATAAACTAAAATAAAATAAAAATGAAATGAAATAAAATAAAATAAAATAAATCTTTAAAAAATAAAAGAAAATGAAACGAAATGAAATAAAATAAAATTAAAATAAAAGGAAGGAAACAAATTTATTTAAAAAATAAATTAAATTAAATTAAATTAAATTAAATTAAATTAAATTAAATTAAATTAAATTAAAATAAAATAAAATAAAATCAAATCAATCCCCTTTGGGAGCGGAGGCTCGGGGGTTCCCAGGGGCGTCCGTGGACGAGGATTCATAAAAAAATATCTCTGAGAGTGTGA